CCACGAAAAAAAGGTATCGTGGAGAGAAAACGATTTTTGAAAGGCTGGTCGGATTTAGACTTTAGGTTTGGCGGGAATCACGGATGCTTAAATATCTCAAATTGTTTTTTAGCTCAGGAATTTACAACCCGATGTCTCATGAGTTTGACCTGTATGCCCAAGTTCTTCATGATAGGGAGGTCAAACCTCGGAAATTTCGCAAGGCAGTCACCCCATTTCGCGTGGTCAGGCTAGGGGACAGTATTCAAACCATTTTCATTTTACTCGTCACCTCTCTAGCAGCATGTTTCTGCCTGGTTATAATCCAGCATGTAAATTACAATCGGACAAGCATCGTGAAAAGGGTTAGGTTACTTTGAACAGAATTTATTAAAAGTGTGAAATTCAGGCGTCAAAGGAAAATACTGGGGCCAGACTTTTATGGTTCATCTAAAATAAATGCGTCACTTTTTTCCTAAAAGGTTATGTGGCATACACTAGGGAGCGAAAATATTCGGGTAAGGGTAACCTCAAAATTCAAATGAGAATAAGTAAGGGAAAAGCAAACTCTGGTGGTCAGGATGGAAATCCTATAGAGGCGATTGACCCCAAGCGCGACGCATGAACGGCAAAGGTAATATAAAAATTGTGCACATCTTTATAAAGTACCTCTAATTGTTGACGTTGCCACTTTATTATACATATGCATACATATGTATTATATCATAAAGTAAACATATTTAATTCCCATCCCCATGCATGCTTACTTTATCAGAATAGAATATATCATGTTGGCAAAATTAATTTAGTAAGCGTTTCATGCTGGGCCTAAAAGCCCATGTATAATTTCGTAACGGATGTTTTTCTGACTAAATTTTTCTTTCTGTTTTGTATCTATGTGCATAACTAACCTCGGCATGATTAGTACTAAAATATTTACCAATTAAACAAATTTTGTGATTACTTTTCCCCGAAGACCATAAGGTGATGCATATCTATATGCGTCATGTATTTGAATACCAGGGAGAACTGGAAATAATAATACACACTAAAAATTATTAATCCTGTACCGAGTCAACAGCAGCCCATGGAGTGGTTAAAAGTGATTTTACTCGTTACAGGGTTCAGCAGTACTTTTGTGCCAAAGGGTAACCCAAGTTGTCCCACACGGGTTGACTCCTAACACATGAGCGGGTTAAGCAATATCAACGCTTACACTCTACGGGTTGTTGGTTTACTCGTATGCTAGTTACTTCTTACCCGTATTGAAGTTAGAATTTACTCCAGTGATAGTTAATAATTTCGTAGCGCCTAGTATGAAATAATTTTTAAACTTGATTTTATTAATTTATAATTTTATAAAAAATTTCAGTTATTCGAACTCAAAATAATAATTACATGACACGAACACCACAATAATCACATTATGCTATTACAATTTTTTAATATTTTGATAATTGTTGAATAACTTTAGACAGCTTCGTCCGATGTCCAATACTGGAAACCAAGTCTGCTATATATAGTTAGTTCAGTCCAATATATAGCACTTCGTCTGTGATGTGGTTATCTAAAAAGAGACAAGAGATGAAAATCATAGAAGACCTATAACGAAATATTTAATTCATAATAACATTCACGGGAATTTTACTTATGTTTGAATTTGGCGACGCAATCTTCCAATCCACAATGAAGCAGGATACGTTGCACTTTCATAAAATCCATAATTTCTTATATTTGTATATCAAAAACTAAATCAGTGTTAATGCCTGGATTTACAAAAACTTTTAGTTTAAAAATCGAGAGGAGATTATATTTCAGCAACATAGCAGAAGGGCGGTGATAAAAGTACTGTCTTTTCTTTGTGGCTGTAGTAGAGTGACCCGCTCAAATAATAGTCCGGTGATGGGTTGAGTCAACCTTGTGGGGAGTTATCGTTGTCCTACCGAGAGTAAATATTAACCATTTACTCTGGCCCCGGCAAAGACCTAGGTAATCTGGTAAATGGTTACCACATTAACTCTGTGCAGTATGCATCTTACAACGCACAGGGTTACCCGAAACTTAACTCTCAAAATAGTTGAGTAGATTTTTAACAGTGTACGCAATTATTCATTGGTGCACATGCCTAATAAAAATTCAATTACGCTCGGAAATACAGAGTGTAGTCGGGGAGGAACGAATATCTCGGTGTTGAAGTTGCAACCGCTTGGTATTAAAATTAATTCTGTGCAAAAGAAATGTAATAACGACATGACAAAACTATAGTACTAAAGCCTGTTGGATTTCAGTAGTCCCTGTGCGGGTGGAGCTTGTGTGAAGTGACGCGGAACATTACCCGAATGAGCCGAATTATTTTATTATTTGACACCGGTTATTTTTATTTTGGCGTGAAAATCATACGAAATTGAATAATTTAAACGCCAAACTAAAAATAACTGGTTCCAAATAATAAATTAATTCGGCTCATTCGGGTAATGTTCCGCGTCACTTCACACAAGCTCCACCTGCACAGGGACTACTGAAATCCAACAGACTTTAGGCTATTACTGCATGGGATTACTTACCTACATATTTAAACCACTTTGATAAAGTGATACATTGAATTATTATTTGTTAAAGTTATTCACAGTACTCCAAAAAAAACGGTCTAACTTTGAATCAGTTTAACCCCCCAATTTCTATATGTACGTGCATATTCATAAATATTCCATGTAATCTTCCGTATTTTCCAGAAGTACGTAAATCCCCTGTCTGAACTCTCGACTTTATTGTGGCATCTGAACAGATATTGATTTACACTCAAAACAAAATCGTCAAAAAATCGCTACCAGGCGGTGTCTATATATGACCTCACCGGTATGGTAAGAATTTGCTACAGGATAGTAACGAAAGACTTGATTTGGCTTGGTAGCAATCTGACATAAAATTGTGGCAAATCCACTCCGCTTTGTTAACGCAGTAATGTACATAATTTGTCAATTTCTTCACCGTGTCGTAGCAGTTTTTATCCGCATTTGCTATATCAACACTACCGGAAATTAGCAAACTTCTACTGATCTGGAAGCATTATCGTTACCATATTATATGAAATTGTAACAAATTGGTAAGAATTACAGAAAACCACGGTAGCAAATTTTAGTAACAAATAATATATTTTATTATAGAACACTTTAATATATTTTCATTGTGCCATACATACATATTTGATATAATTGTACAAAAAATAGTTTATAATACCAAAAAACGAGCTATATTAATATTTAAATATGATGCCTTACAGATACAAATATTCCATCCGAATTACAATTGTGCATCAATTCCATGCATTCATGGATTTCTAATTTCGTTACATCACATAACTCATAAACATCGTGTTTCAACTTTACTCTATAACTAAAATAATTTCTATCAAAATATTGTACTTCTAATTTATTAAGCAGCAAATAACATGTTTTTTCATCTGTAATTAGAAATTCAACGATAACTCCAAATTTTGGAAACACAGGGTCGTGACCAAAACATACAATATAATTGTGTTTGTAATTGTAATTATTGAACCAAATTTGATTTGTCGTGCAAACTTCTGTTTCTTCATCACATTTTTCAAACCCATTAACTTTTCTCAAGAGTTCAATTGCATCAAATGGGTTGGAAAATTGGCATAGTTTAATACTCAAAATATTCTCAACTTTTAATTCGTTTAGTACAATATTTTTTGACATAACTGCAGCATATTGCTGATGGCGCATGGAAAGTGTGTAACAAATATTCCTAAAATTTTTTGTGTGATTCGCCAATTGCACAAAATAATTGTGCTTCCCTTCAAACCTCATTGTCCAAAGGGAAATCAAGGGACCAGTCTGTCTAATAACATAAGAGTAGTGACACATAAAATGGTGCTTCGGAATCAACCGATTTTCAGGAAATAATTCTTTAAATTTTGAATGATGTGTAATAATAAGAGAATCTAATTTAAAAAGAATTGCTTCAGAAAAGTTTCTACAAAATGCAATATTTAAAATTTCTAATAACAAGAGAATTAATTCCCAAAATTTCTTAGCATCATGTGTTACAATTATGTCGCCAATTATGATTGGAAGATGTCTTATGAGGCACCAAGCTTGTGCAGCTTTTTGGCCAATTCTGTTGCTATTATTGTCTAATCTAATAGGACTTGGGCGATTCTTCGAATCTAAGTAACCATAATCGTACGAAATAATTCTTTGGTTAATTTTTTCTAAATCAAAACATTTTAAAAATATAAGTTTTTGAACTACGAGTTTTACTTCGTACGGAACAACACCTTCAAGCAAATCATGCATTATGTCCACTGATGGCGAATCTAAAAAATTAAAAAACTGTAAATCATTTAAGGCGCATGGTCTCTGAACGCCAAAACTTTTGCATTGAAGGTGCTCGGCATAATTTACCTTGTTTCTTAATACCATATCGCAATGCTTATAATTAATTTGGGCTTCATCCTTACTCGTGCAGCATAATCTACAATAGTAATTAGAATTGAACGACTCATGAAACCCATAAATTGAATTTCCTCCCAAATTGTCAAAAATAACAGTGGAAATAGTTCCAAAAAATCTATCTGTACCATTTATTTCGATTCCTTGGCTTTCAAGAAGTTTTAAATCAGGAATGATTAAATTTAAAATACCATTTATCCCATATTTTTTTGCATCTTCAGAGTAGAATAAAGCAAGTAAGTGAATCTGACTGAGCTGGGAATTAATAAAGTCGGGCAGATTCCGAAGTACAAAATAAATTGCCCCTATTTTATGTATTCCTCGCTTCGATCCAAGAGGATTAACGGTCTCGAAGTCGTCATAAAATAATTGCAGTTGAATAGAATTGGGGAATTTGGAAAACAGCTCGTTTGTTAAATAAGATTTGGAATTTTGAAAACATGAATAACTTGTTGAATCATTTTTATAATAAAAATATTTAGAAAACTCAGGAATTGACACAATTTTTTCCAAAGTTTTTAACAAATGGATGTACATAAAGGTGTCTTCAGCTATAACTTGCAGTCGTTTTGTATTGTGACTTCTAAGCTCAACTCTATTTCCTAAAGTCAACTCTTTCGGCATAACAAAATGATCGTTTTCTTTAAAAAGCTTTTGCCTTTGATAAGCTGATTTGACCTTATCAAATGCTTGAAGTAAGCTAAATATTTGTATTTGAAATGACTCGAAATTATTTGATGGAATTGCACTGTCGCCAATTTTAAGAATCAAATTAAAAATATCATTCATTGAATATTTCAACTCTTTAACTATAAAATCTAATGTGGAGTTGCTGACACCAGTTGCAAGTAAAGTGAAACAAAAATTGGTTAATGATACTGTCATCACCTTAATTCCTAAATCTACGGATATTTCATTTGAAGCATTACTTGCAAAATCAAAATCATCAAAATTGTTTGGACTAATTATTTCTATATTATCTCCGTTGTTTGGTTGTATATTTGGAGTAATTGTATCGACAGATTTAACGTCATGAGATTTTGTATGCCTTAAAAAATAACTCCAGGAATTAATTTTAGTCAAACAATTACTAAACGGACATATTACCTCTTTAAAGCATACATGACTAAAATTATGTATGTACTTAACGTGCTTAATTAAACTAGCACTATCTAACATCAATTTACTGCATAAGGTGCAATTGAACATTTTGAAATATGTACTCTTAATTAAGCTGGTTAAAAACCTGTTTCACATTACGAGGCAGATTTTCGGCATCCGTCTCCAATCCATAAATGTAAACTTGAATAAATTTCCATAGCCCCCTTAAACTGATGTCGTACTCCGTCCCAAATACATAATGGCTTTTGAAGAGAATGTCAATAGCTTCGGTGGAATTTTTGGATGCAATTGGAAGCAGCTGACCGTCACATGCGATGAAAAAGCTTGACAAATTTTTCTTATCAACTCCTAAACAAACTAGATTTGGCTGCTTCAATTCGGCTTTCCAAGTATCCAAGATAGATTGCAATGGAGTCCCGGCCTATAACCAAAATTATATTTTTAATCAAAGATAACTATTCTGACCTATTTAATATGTATGTGCATTAAATGCACAAAAAATATAGAAGCTTATTTCGGTGTTCTAAAATACCTTGAAGAAATTAATTAATTTTGTTTTTGCACCATCCAAAGTACAATGATTTGCCTTCCCTTGTCCTTGTGCTGTTGGCGGAATCAAATGGAGTAATGTAAACAGCGCACCAATTGAAAAATCCCATTCCCCTATAAAATTTTTAATGTATTGATTGTGGTAAATTAAAATAATGTATTTATTTCTATTATTTAAATAAATATTTTACCACAGCCCTGTGCAAGAAATCTTATAAGCGCAGGAGACTTTTTGATACTGCCGGCCCTTTGTAATATTTTGTCTACCCAGGTCGGCCAAGATTTTAAGAAGTTATCGCTTTGCTCAGGGTGGAGTTGAGAAAACTCAAAATTGATCTATAAATCAGGTCAAATATTTTTAGTTATTTTAGTTATTTTTTCATGTAATTAAATCAAATTACCATAGACTTCCATTCCTGGAATTTTCTGTAAATTTTTAGAATGGATGAGTCACTTCTGAGCCGTAAATAATTACGGTGAGCGAGTGTCTCCAACGCCAGTCTCTTCAACTCTTCTTCATCTTTAATGGGTGTAGAATTAAGTTTGGCAATTATTTCTTCGTTAACTTCAAATGATTCTTCTACATCCGAATTTGATACAGCGTTTTGATTTTTGCAAACGCGTTTTGATTTTGGCTGCTTCGTTTCATTTAGATGGCGATGTATTGTTCTTAGCCGAGCTTGGATAAGTCCGGAACGGTTACCCTCATCATAAAGTATATCCTGTAACAAAAAAAATTGTTAATAATTAACCTAGGACTCGACGACTCATCACCCAAATACTAAAATTCAGCACAATTTTCATCACTCTTCAGCTGTGAGAATCGATTTTAAAATTCTGGACAAATTTGTGCTCATGATGTTCACTAAATTGCTACGATGTTTGTTAATTAGGGCTAATTAGTTCCAATTTTTTTAATCTCCTCCTACAAAACTGTCCAATTCTAGAGTGTATATTTTTTTCCAACCATCATTGTAAAAATTTGTGGCCCAGAATTTTTAAATAAATTACCAGACCAGCAGAACTGACTAATAATGTGACAATTCTTGACATTAGGTATTATAAACGTGGAATGTTTAAATTATATATTCTGACACTTACAATTCCGTTTTCTGACGCTGCATACTTCCAGCAAGGTAAGATTGAAATTACAGTATGAGCAAGTAATTTCTGGTCAGCTGTTGACGGTGAATTCCTATTAAGCAAGAAATAATATTCAGTCCGGGATGTAAAATTCATTCTATAAGATAATTCTGTCCTTACCCTTTTAGCTCAATTAATTTATTAACAAATGATTTTATTAAAATATTCCCCGTGGATGTGTCGACAAAGGTTTTTTCATTGCAGTCAGTAACCAAACGTTGTAATTCCTCGTCACTTTGTACAAATTCCTCAAATATCTACAAAAATATAATGACGCAATATTAATTTGTTTTCAATATTTGATAATATTTTTGTAAAATTTGTGTTTTGGGGATTGTGAGTTACCTGCTTAAATCCACTTTCAATTGTATTTTTAGTTGACAAAAGAAGAGGAGGTGAATTAACTTGAGAAGTTTGACCTTGTGAACGTACAAATACAAAAAGGGAAATTCGTTTAGTTAATAAAAAAATAGAAATTATTGATAATATGAATTATAGCTTACAATAAATCATCGGAGAGTTAATGCTTCCGTTTTCCTCAAAAGTAAGCTCAGTTTGTATTTCTCCAATAAGAGTAAACACAATGTTGGGCGTGTCCTGTTGTCGAATTAAAATAGGGAACACTTCCTCTTCAATTTCAGCACCTTGATCGTCGAACAAATTGATTTCGACATCTGCAGCAACATCAAACCTCCTTTTAACTAAAAATTAGAAATTTAATTTTAAAACTTATATTCAAACACAATAAACTTTGTACTTTGTTATAATCGTTGGCCTTACCTGAATCCAAGAACCCTAAATAATCCCCACTGAAAACAATTAATTTTTTCCCCCTCAGGGAGTTGGAAACACGAATTAATTTTTCCATTCTGCAGCTTTATAAAGAGCAGAGTAACCGCCAACGAAACTAAAATCCACGCTTTGACTGTTACTACTTTGTGTGAGACAGACAGAACATGGTGAGAATGTAACACAATAGTTTTGTGAAAAATCGTTACGAGGGCCGGTAATGAATCGAAATGCTACAATACGGGGTCGATTTGCTACAGAATTTTATTAAACTTCTCATAGTTTATTTACAAACATACTTATTTTTACGGTAGCAACCAAAGATGAGAATTGTGTCAATGTTGGTGACAATTTTAACACAATTTCAGTAAGAACAGCCTTTACTATTGGTTGGTAGCAATTAAATTCAGGCTATTGCTACCAACTTGCTTAGAGTGTATTTGAATTTAATTTTGGTTCTCGAACGAATTACAAATAAATATAGTATAAGCTCAAGAACGTTCTAATCATGGGCTCTTACAAACATACGCAATTTGTGATCAAGACCTGCGATATAGATTTCCATAGGTCGTGCAATATCGCAGACTTCCATTGGTTAATCTTGTACATATAAAAGCGTGCATGTATATTTTTGCCCTTTATTACTTTGAACTCAATACATTTCCACTTTAGAAAACTTTGGGAAATAAATTAATTTTACTTGTTTAAAAGGCTGCAATAAGCGAATACATAGTTGACTTTGATGGCGAATTCCCTCAGTAGCCTACATTACACGTCCGAAAGAATGGCTAACTACATATTTACAATGAAGTCTCACGTCGTTAACCCCCCATTGTTTTCAATTCCATTCCCTTGTTTCCAATTATCCGTGATGATTACAAGGGAGTAAAAAATCACATAAACGTTGGCGTCGACAAGCCTGTGAATAATTGCCGCCTTTAAGTTTAATACTACTTACATTTTGAACTTACCAAGCATTGGAAAATGCTACCAAAAATGGACATATTAATTACCTGGTTACGTAGTGTTGCATACCCCACGACAAATATTCCTACTCTAATTTGCGCTTCTAAGATAGTATTCATATTCAAGCAGTTTCCACTTGCTATAAATAAGGATAAGTTTGTAGTCACGAATTCCAACAAGTATCAAAGCATAGTTTCAACGGTAGTAGTCCTACTTCATTTGGGTGTTGTACTTAACTGGCTTCTAGAACAATTGTTCAGCCCAGTAAATCCATCCCCACCAATCTGGAAGTTCGTCTTCAGCTACTACTGTATAACGTTGTTTGGAGCATGTGTACTTTTCTTAACTCAATTCACGTTGCTTAGAGTGGAAACAATAAGGTTACTGAATTCAGGAATTCACATTGAACAAACTATCAATTCGAAAGGTGAGTACGAAAAATTCCGCGGGGAAAGATGTTATCTGTTATGTCAATAGTTATATAAGGCATATTTACCAGGTTACTATTGGTTAAAAGTTACAATATAACATGAATACAGAAAATTATGCATATATACGTTGTTCCAGGTCAAAATAGCGGTAATATTTTTTACCTATGTTTCATCACACAATGCATAATTAGCGTCTGCATTTTGCCGATCATCGGCTTCGCGTTTGGCTTAATTCGACCCTGTATGCCTCCTGCTGTGACAAGCTTGATGGATCAAGAATGCAAATCATGGGATGATGGTGGACAAATCGGGATCATGTTCCAGACTTGTTTATCAATTTTGATGGGGTACATAGCCGGTCAACTCGCTGCCAACGTTGCTTTCGCCGTTGGCATCGTACTAGTGTACCCCACCGTAATCAAGTTAATAATCCTAGAGTCAATTGCCAGGTTAGATAGGTACATATGCACTAAAATATCAATAATATACAATCTGAACAATTTTGCAGAAATTTAAACCGTGGATGGCAAAATGGATTCGCGTACATGGGGACATATCGAACTTTGCAAATCTTATCCAGCATGCACAATGCCGTACTGAGTCAGCCGATTATGCCCGTATTTGTTGGAGGCGTAACTGTGTGCCTAAGTTTTGCTTTGTACATTCTAATAGCTCCAACATCTGAAGTTCCCCACCCCATTTTTCTTCTGTTCTCTCAGGTCGCGCTTCACATGTTGGTGACAATTGTAGGACCCTTCAAAATGATGGCTGGCCCTTTGGCTAAGTCCATCGAGATACTAAAATCTTTAGAAAGAATGAACGGGTCGAGTTTGGCGAAAAAACACGTCAGGTCCTGCCCACCATGCAAGATGAGTTTGGGCGATGGTACGTTCTTCGATAAGGCGACATCTCTTGTAATACTACGTAAAAGCGTGGACTTACTTATTTATTTCTTATTGACGTAATTGAATGTACTAATTAATGTTACTCTGGTTAATATTACGTGTAACTAAGAATTAAGTGATTCGGAAAAAAACCTAGAAAATAATAGAAAATAATAGAGAAATAAGAAAATAATCTAGAGAATAATGTGAGAAGTGAAAACGCAGTTTAGTAGCCTGTTTAATAATTTAACTGGAAACACAAATTGTGGGGAGCCGTAGCCGTAATGTATTTTCGCAGAAAAAGTAGTTAATTGTATTCGATAAATTAGAATTAAATTACAGGCAAGTTACTAAACGGTGAGCTAAGAAATGCACAGATCATAGTGACGTAGTAATGCTTAATTTAACTCAGGCTAAGCTTCTTTCTTTGAGGTAAATTAGATCCATAACATCGCACAATTTTGTTCATTTTGAAATCGTTCACGAAACCCTGAGCAAACACGGCTCATTTAATGGGCCAGCATTTTACAAAACTGAAATTCCATAACTTCAATTGTTTGCTTTGCATAAAAATCAACAGCTTCGAGCCAAGTTCCCCATCTAGTAATTATTTTTTCACTCAGTCAACCTAGTGAGTGTAGATTATCAACATAAGTTGTACATGAGATTTAAATTCCCTTCAAAATTCCAAGCAAGGCTTACATTGAGACAAATGCGCTTAAAATAGAAATCCCTCGAAATGTCCCTATTTGCAAGAAATCGAAAAGATTTGAGCCTTATGCAAAAGAAGGTACTCCAGAGCGAAAAACATGGTAGGATCCGAACGTTAATGGCAAAAAAAACCAAGACATTTTGCAAACGGGTGGAAAACGGCAAATTTGAGATTTGGGACGGAAAGTCGGATTTGTGGCTTAGCATGGAGAAAGATAAATCTTCCGCAGCAAAAACTGGTTGGTATGGTTCCCACCTACACTACCCAAAAGGTTTTATAAAAAACTTCTGAGCAAGTCGAATTCTAGTCGTGGATCACAGTCCAACTTAAGAGTGGATGGGGTATATACGTATGACTACCACAGTGGTATTGATAATTAGTACGGTGTAGTAATGACTCGGTATTGTAAGTTTTACCATGCCGGTAGAAACTTTGACGGACCGGCATTATTTAAATACCAAGATTACTTCTGTAAACTTGTCCCTTTTAATATGTATATATCGTAGGGCACTTGTTTCCTAAGGAAGTTAATTTCAATTATATAAGAATTATGTATGTGTGTCGGCTTGTCGTCTTTAAATATCATTATATTATTATATTATATTTCCCGATATTTTTCTATTTTGGTAATGATTACGAAGACGTTTTTCCACCAGCAGGAAATTACACACGTGATGTATGTACGTCGACTACAAAAAAATTGAACATACACGCCAAATGACGTAACTGGTTGTGTAAAATTTACCCAATAAAGGTAAAACTTACCCGAAATTGAACGAAAAGTCTTCAACTTTGGGTAAATTTTAACATGCATATGGTAAATTTTACACAAAGAGTTGTTGTCATCGCATATTTTGCCCATCCTTGAGTAAATTTTAGTCAAATTTATTTGCGGTGTTGGTATTTATTAAGGGTGAAAGCCCTTTATAAGATCGTTATGTCCGTCCGCCTGTCTGTCCGTCTGTTGGTCCGATAAGTTTCGAACAAAAACACATAGACTTGAAATTTTGAACTTAAGCTCCTAACGTCAGGGGACAGGACGAGTTCGAACATGGACACTGTGACACACTTCTTTCACCCCTTGGTTACATGCGTTGTAACGGTTTATTCAGAGTGTACTCATCATATTTATGCTAAGCTGCCGAGACGTCATTAACCTATTTATGACCCAATGCATGCGAGTCCTCGCCCTCGTACTTGGAATCTTTCCTCCACGGAGAAAAACATGTTTTTGTCTTTGTCTGCAATTATCCAGCTCAGTCTGGGAATAGATTAAGTCATTTTTTGCTATAAAATAAACAACACTCGACACATACAGCATTATTCCATTCACAACTCTGCAAATTAAAGAACGGTTTTAGCTGAAAGAAGATAAAATAATAAGAAATGAAGGGGTTCACGATTTTCGGAATTTTTGCTGTCTCCTTTTTCCTTCTCTCGGAAACAGTGGCCCACAGCAGCTCTGAAGAAGAGGGGAATAATTTCTTCCTAAATCATGGTAAGTTTAAAATTATATGGATTTAAAAATTTCATGACACTCTTAGAAATGCAATATTAAAATAATACATATTTAAGTACATATGTATGTAAATACATACTTAAGTATGTATGTAAATACATATTTAAGTATGTATGACACCCAGAGTGTGCAAGGGCAAAAAGGCATGCCGTGCCTAAAATGCCTTTTTGCCTATTAGGCACGTAAATTTTGGCCATGCCCGATTGCCTGAAATGCCTTTTTGCCTTTTTGGTTAAATCGGGGCAATGTGATCATACGATCGTATACTTTTTCGTTGTAATCTTTCACAGTTCACAGGATTTGTCGATATGTGCATAATTAAGATATTAAGCCGATTTGGATTATCATCTATAGATATGGATGTACATATACATATGTAGATTATCATCTACGGCGTAGATATTCATATGCGTAGATTCTACGCATATGAATATCTTGAGGTGTACAAATATTCACAAATACTCTTAATTATAATGAGTGAGTAGGGAAATAATGTTGCGGAGAAGTTATGTAGAAGTTAAAGGTTGTTAAAGTTTTAGAAAAACCGAAATGTAAAAGCTAATTACATTGTTGCCACTCTTTCTTGTCCATAGAAAAATTTGTCAAATGGTACAGGCAATACCCAATGGAACCATACAGAAAAGGGCAAAAAGGCATCAAACGGGCAAAAAGGCACGTAAAAAGGCAATTCGGCATTGAAACGGGCAAAACGGCAAAAAGGCATAAATTTTTTCCCAAAAAGGCGCCTTTTTGCACACCATCAAAGAAGGATTGATGAGTAACACGATGTAGTAATAAATATGTAGGTCGGTATTTCGGTAAAATCATCTCGGTAAACAAATTTGCGAACTGGTATGATTTTAACACAAAATGGTTGCAAGTTTAATCGAAACCTGCGTTACTAAATATACCAGATTTCTAATAGTGTATCTGCACATTATAAGTTTCTCATACAATTACATACTTTAATTTATAAATTTCTCAGAGAGATGCCACTCCGTCGGGACTAAAATTGTCATAACTCATCCGGACGGTTCATCCGAGTCATGCAATTGTCAAGCACCACCCACCACGACGACCGCACCCACAACCACGACCGCCAGGCCGGGACGACGACCACGACCCGTTCCGAAACCTAGAAACACGTGGGAATGCACCTCCACTCCGGCCGGAAGTACGACGACCACACCCACACCCACCACCACTTCAGACCCACAAGCTTGAAACTGTGGGAACCAAAAGGCTTGGAAATATTCTACCAAAATTAGATAAAATTGCCTTGTTTTAATTTTAATTTAAAATTATGACACATTTTATTAACTTAAGATACAAATACCTAACAATCTATTATCATGGGATGTATGAATTACTAAAAATTAACTGCAGAATCATGTTACATAATCGTATCAGAATTCATTAAAATTGTAATAAACATAAAATGTCAGAAAACATGTTTAAAAATTTCAATTTTCCCAAAAGCATCTAAACCCTTTTTTTTATGGAATGGATTTGATTGCGCATCCATAATAAATAAATGTAAGCGAAGCTATAGCAAGTTGTTCTGGAAAAGACATGATTTTAGCGTGTAATAATTTGTGAAAACTTCGTCACATTGGGAAATTTGGAAACCAAAAATTTATTAAAAAATATTACGTAAACTTTTCAAATACGTATACAAGCATACTTTAACTCTCCCATGGGTAAATGCATACATACGTGAATACATTCGTGACGCTTTAATTTTGTCGATCACTTATAACACATTCTTGGCACGTTTCTCAAAACACGATGATCTCATCTTTGTCAAAACCTCGATAACATCACGGTCTCAAGTTTACGGGCAGGTTACATACTCTTTTAATATGATACAATTGCATGGTCGAGGTATGTAGTACATGCACATGTACATATTGCACCTTAACTTCAGGATTAATTAACGGTGAAGTATGCATTTCTTGGTTAGGGTTTATAAAATAATATCAAACTGGTAAAAATCAGATTGAGCTGTAATTTGTGACTCCTTAGCAATGTGCGACTTGTGAGATTTCTGTGATGATGAGGTCAACTTTTGTCCAGCCTTCTGATTAATTTCACGCGCTACACAACGTGTTTTGACCAACTTTAGTGCAAAATACGACGATTTTACCCTAATCGGTATTCGGCTAAAGCAGACCGTAAAATGTAAATATTCAATTTTGTATTGAATCCATATCTCAGCTAGTTTTTTCCAGTAATATTTTTTAAATGAATTTACAGTTTCACCATCCCACCATCGTAAATCGTAATTGGCCAAGGTGTCATATTGTGTAAAAATTGTGTATGTACATTAATCACATCTATACATAAATCACAAGGTGTGATTATCTAGCACAGTTTCAAAACCCTGTTTCTACTGATTTAATATTCGTTCCCGTGTTCCGTAACACGTTCGCAGTGTACGAAATCTATTCTAATTTATTTACTAGCCATCTTCTTTTCTACCAAGAATTATTATTGTACTTTATCAAAAGATTACATATTTTTGCACGTATGTAGGATTAATAAACCAAACGGTAATTAGATTACCTACTTACTTAAGACAGTAATTTATGTAGCCCGATAAATGCGAGTAAGCATGTCGGAAAAATACCAAAAAAAAACTTTGCTTTACTAGTGTGACAAATTGGGCTTACATACATGATTAAATTAGCAACACAACCCAACCTACATACCAACCACTCTTAGAAATCTGCTGCTGTCAGTCAGACAGATCTTGCCAATCAGTATTAAAATAGCTACTGCCCGGTATTAAAATTATACCCGTCCGTAAAGATTTGCTACCGAAATGGTGAAACTTTAGTACTGGCGTATGAAATACTACATCGTATTTATTACCGACAAGGCTCTTTTTGGTAGAGTCATACATACATACACATTTTGAAAACTGGTATTAAATCATCACTGACCAGAGGGCATATGTATTTGTATGGGAAAAAGCTACTATCAATTGGGTAGGAAGTTATTACCAAATTTGCAAGAGTACATACATATAAATATATGTATGATGTACGTATTTACATATTTAACATGTGCCTGCGACAACCACATTTCTAACAGTGTAGGCACATTATTTAAATTATTTATTACCGCTTGGTATTATTTTAATGCTAAATTTCCAATAAGGTGCATTCCATAACTTTGTTATGGTTTTACGTATGTAATTGGGAAGTATGCAAAATGGTATTATACGATAAAGGTGTTATGCAAAAAAATTATGCAATTTCACCGACCACGCAAAAAAATTATAATATCATTTCTGCACGACCCATTCCCACGTCATATCCAACAGACGTAGTAAGGTCCACATTAATTCATCGTCTCGTTCCTTTCCTTATAAAATCCTTCTCTCCACCGTCTTGGACATTCATCTGTAAAGATTGCCAAATCTTAACGGAAAATTAGCAGAAAAAAAAATTGTGCAATGAAACTATTCTTCCTTTTGGGAATCTGTTTCCTCTTTTCGAATTCAGAAGCTTTCGGCTTCGGCTTTGGTAACGGATCTGAAGAAGAAAGAAGCGTGCAAATCTTGTACTTGAATCATCGTAAGTTAAAAGATACTTAAATTTGGGGTATTCATGTCAAATGCTGGATCACAAGTACATTTTATCATGTTGATTCCGAAGTAAAAAAGGTCCATTAAATACTTACTTATTCAGTAGTTAAATTTTCATCCAATATTCAATCGTTTTCAAGCAAAAGATTTTGCTAAATCTCTCAAATTGACCAGGAATGTACAACTTAACAAGTCATTTGCACCTGAAATTTCTTGCCAGTTCAGAAAATATTTTTCGGAATTTATTTATGTATTTATGTGTTTCTGTAAATTCTTATATTTTAAATTTGCAAATTTAAAATATAAGAATTTATATTATATATTCTATATATATTCTATATAGAAAATATATTCTACCATGGTAGAAAAAAAACTTCCGACTTTTGTGAGGTTTGAAAATCTCTTCGGACATACATATTTACATACATCCAACCAACCCTATAAAATACGCTTTCAAATTTACTACAAATTTTAGGAAATATAAAAAATATTTTCTCTTTATCCAGGACGATGTAACGCTGTTGGCACGAAAGTTGTCGTAACTCGGGCGGACGGATCGTCCGAATCCTGCACCTGCCAAGGACCACCCACCCAACCACCAACGACGACGGGGACAAGCCCGGTACCAAGCTCTGCTACGTCCGCACCCCCCACAACGTCAGGACGACGTGGAGGCTGGCGACCCAGACCAACGCACCCACCCCCGCGCCCAAGAAGCACGTGGGCATGCACCACTACTTCCTCTTCGCCGACGACCGTATCTGCCGGCCCGACGACGGCACCCCCTCCCACGACGAGTGGAATCCCCACCACGACCACACCCATTGGTAACATTTCTTAAAATATTCTACATATTTACTGTTCCGCCAATATTAATAGGACAATTAAAAAGGAATTGAGACTTCTCAATTCCTTGGAAATTTTTCAGAAAGGTTATTTAGCTTTTAGAAAATATTTAAAATTATCTGCCTGGAAACCTTTTAGGTTTTTTTCAGACTATTAATATCGGCTGAACAGTAGTGGCGATATACATAATTTGTACCGAAATTTATTGATTTACAAAAATATTTTTACAGGAGGATGAGAAACTTCATCAAATTTGAAAAACATTTTCCAGCATTTAAATAAAACATGTATGTAGTGTGCGTAGTAAAACTACTTTGTGTTTAGCTTTGAAAATTATGTTGTGAAAATCATTTGCGAAATTTGAATTTGTCATAAATCTTCTTAAATAGCTGTACTACAGTTTTAGAAATTATATAAGACGAATTTATGCAAATTAAAGTTATTTTGCTTGCAATCTACATTTAAATACTTTAAGAAATTTTGAAAATCGCCCAGAAATTTTACTTGTAAATCGTATTAATAAAAAAACTCTAAATTATATGCAATGAAAAGGTGAGGTATTAAATTATGTAAAACACCATTTATTATTCCTGAGTATTTTTTATTCTGAGTATTTTTTACTTCAAGTTTATCAATCCTAATTCATCACTCAGATATTGTCATCATTAACCCTGAATACAATTTTTTTTAATTGTCGACTCCCAGTTAAGGTATGAAATAAAATCCCACTTTTATCCTCGTACAGCACGGTCCGATAAACTTCTGCTTGATGCAGATATTCCGACGGGGCACCCTAAAAAATACAACACCCACAATGCATACATATTTTAGCGGCATGTAAATAAATACACACATATGCACACTTAAAAAATAATGGTACCCTATTGACAAGTAAATGCACTCTGAATTCTGCATACATATATAAGTTGAGTAAACTATACTAAACCCACAGCAGACTTTAAACTTTATCAAGTAAACCTTACTCTGGGTTAATCCATAGTAAGGTTATGCATGAATGTCATGAAAACTTACATGGTATTCACACATACTTTACTCAATATACATAAATAGAATCGAGAGTATGATTATTTTTTAAAGGGTAACATTATTTTTAAGAGTGTGCATATGTATGTAGTGTTCGCAATCTGGTCGATCCGGCAACTTTTTTTGCTAGCCACACATCAACTCGTCACGAATACCCGCATTAATAAGAGGAATGCTTAGCAACAAATTAATGCTGGTCAAAAGTTAAGTCCCCGTTCCCATCAATGGGATTGGGAGCATTGATAATAACGATGTTAATAAAATTAATTACCCTGTTAATTAACATAGTAAGTGACATAAATACATACATACGTCTAGTTGGAAGTGAACATCCACCCATTTATTTCCAGCCAGATTAACCAGTTCAGGAAGCTGAATGTTGATATCGTCCTGTCCTCGGATTATCCCACGGCGAAAAGTAGTTTCCTCCATCAGCACGTGCTGCACGGATGGAATGCTTCGTCTCCAAACAATGAATTCCAGATTAATTCTGGAGTTCCAAGAGGCTTGTCGGGAACTCTTTGATTGATTTTTATAGTGATCAAGTATTCGACTTTATTTTTCCCAAAGGAGGACGAGTGTGGTCAGAAAAATCGTAAACCATGCAGCAAAATATCCGAGGAAGGTGAAAATCTGAAGTTCAAAACAAAAATAGGTAAGATGAGCTTATCACAAAAAATCATGGATAAGAAAGTAGATACTGCAAAAAAACTATTTTTTTCTTGCCGGAGTATATGCATATCTGCATCCGAAGAGGAGAAAAACGGGGAATATGTTTAATTAGTGTAAAATTGGTCAGCTTTATGGCGCATTTTCTCCTCTTTTGGTGAAATTATCTCGCCAAACGTGCCCATTGGGGGGCCGTGTTTTTCGCAAATGTCAAATTAACTAAATTTGTGATTAGTCAAAATCGCAGATCATACACGGAGAGGCCTTCATTGTGAGTAAGTAAAATTTATAACGGTCCACAAATTATTAACTACACTTAATTAAACGTACGAAAAAGTGTGCATGACCCCGTGGAATGATTTCCCCTCCAGGTGTGTGCAAAACATGCGTCCCCGAAGCTGTCTGTTAAGCCGATTCAATTTTCCAGAAATTTTGCTGGTTGAATTTGGTGAATTTGGAAAAAAACAGAAAACCTCACAAGGGAAAAAGACGAAAAAACTGAATAATTATTGTGCATAAAGATTTTGAACTATGACACATTATACGGCCCTTAATCGCTCACGCGGCACCTTCTTCGCCCGGCATTTTCTTCGGCCGCACAATCTTCGGGCGGCACTTTCTTCGGGCGCATCTTCTTCGGACACCCATTGCCTCGAACCGATAAATTGTCGTCTGGCTGAATGACGTCCCACAAAGCGGTTCTATTAATCAGAGCATAATTTTTTTTAGACAACCAGTAACAAGGTACTCACATATGTATAAAATGTGGACAAGAGTATACGTATCCAACGTTCAAACTGTGGATAAAAGTATATGGATGAAATAAGCATGGACAAGCCGAAAAACGTTTCCTTTGTCCACATTTTGTTGAATACAAGACACAGATATGGACAATATAAAATATGGATAAATCTTCATCTTTCCACTTGTCCACATTTTATCCGGGTCCTACAAATATTTAAAAGTCTTACCAAGAGCCAACCCCACATCGAAAGTAACCCCTAATTTGATCCTCATTTTTTTAAATTTCTCTACAAAATCGTTCAAATCGTCAGAACTGGTTTCTTCTTCCAAATAAGTGAGTGTCAAAGATGGTTCGGGGACAAGTTCCATTTTATTTTAGGTCACATCTGATAAAGCTATAAAGCATGATAAAATTACCTACATGCCTACGTAAGTTTTATGTCTTGACTTCGAAAAATTCACAGCTTATAGTTATCAAATTAATTTTTGAAATTAAAGAAAAATTAATTCTTCAAATTTTCTTTGCTACACGTCACAGATTATCGCTTTTTAATTATTTACATATATACACAAAAACACAAAAACACTTTTGCCAAAACTGAATTAATACAAACTATGCAAATCCAATGACCTGCGTAAGTATGTGCTAAATTTTAATAAAACAATCAAAAATGTGTTCCAATCTACTCTGTGAGCATTGGGAGAATTATAAGAAAGAAATTACTATTATATTAACCTTCAATGAACGACAAAGTCTTAAATGTTACTGTCGACCTTGTTTTTTTCTGACTGGACCAGATGTGACATAAAATTGAGCGTGCATTGATTTTCTTCTTCTCCAAGGACAATTTTCCATGGCAACGATAAGACTGAAGAGGATTGCATAATTGGTCTCATCTCAACAGTATGTCAACCATAATAAATAAATGAAATCCTTAATAGGATAGCATACCCATCCACATACATAAATATTTGCATATGAAAATGCTATTCTACTTGAATTAAGTACAAAATCAAGTACCTTGATTTTGTCCAAATTAAAGCAAAAATAGATATATAGATACAATAAGTGCAAACTTATATTTGTCTCGAACACGTAAAAAATTAGGGTCGACAAGTTCTAAAACCCAAATACTAAGAAATTACGCGAAAATTATGTTACACACGTTACATTCATTTGTTTACGGCGTGTGGACAAGTTAAAATAAACGAACGCTTCTCGACAAAATCTGGTCTCGTTGGGGGGACGACCATGTATTACGTCATCAAAATGTAGTTGGGAGATTTTGTGTTGCCTATATTACTCGCGTTAAGCCTAAAATTAGTAGGATAGGGAACGGTTGCACTGAAAACTGGGATTTTTTTGATGACGCTATACATCGACGTTCCCCTTGTGTTAAATATGTATGTCTGTGTGGGTATGAATGTACATATGTGCTCATTACACGTTATCGCAGCAGAAATTCCATCAAAATACTTACTCATCTTCTGTCGTGAGCAGTGCATTTGGAAAGGTGAAGCATTGGCCGTTAAAATTTCCTAAATAATATGTCCTTTTTTATTTATCTTTACAATAGGTATCGATTTTTGCACAGATAGTCGGTAATTAGCCTTTAATGTGCTACCGCCGCTGGCCTGCCTACCTCTGTTAATGAGTAGTACTTGTTCAAATAAATTGTAAACTAACGTTGGATACAAAGCAATAATTGTTATTTTTCACGGCATATTTTAATCTTTCACGTGTTTTTACACATGTTGAGCAACTGTCCACCGTATGTACATATGTGCAAAACATGCATTTGCACACACACTCGAATGTACATACTTTTCAAAGGAGTACTTCAATACGTTGTGCACATACTTAAACGAACCAGAGCTTCAATCCAGTTTGATATTTTAAACGACATACATAGATTTGCTGGAAATGTTTGCAACAAGAATTTTTCCAAAAAAGAGTTACCTACTCTATTTTTAAAATTAAATCTATTATTAAAATATATAGATACAACTGATAAATAGGACATTGTTGTGCTTCCCTCATTGCTGAGAAAGCAAGGAAAGTTTCTCTTCATGAACTTAAAAACGTGACCGAAGTCGACAGATTGAAGACTAAATAAATCATTGGAGGCTGATTTTATAAATTTCGTTGGGATTATGCATTAAGGATTATTAATCCTTAATCCTAATCCTTAATACGTTAATCACGACTAATCACGTTAAACACGGGTCCCTGCTTATAGTTTATACTAGCAATCATCAAAATCGACAAAACTTACTCCCTAGAAAGAGCATATTTACATAGATAAAAAAACCTAACATGAATTACCTCAATGGTCATTGACAGACAACTTAATCCTAACAGTATGAGACAAATTAATAACAACTTTACTAAATTGTTTAATCGTATGACCAAAAGCGTAGTCTCACTTTTTGGTTTCATTTTTTGTAAACTCAAAAGATTTTCCAACTTTGTCCATTGGTTTATCAGACCTATTTCAAAGATTGAATTGTGAATTTTAGGAGCTTCCTTGACAAACGGTACGTGCAAGAAGATAAACTGGAGGTAATGTCCACTATGCGAGAATTGACTACACGGGTAATGTTCTCTTACATAAGAAATCTCTCGTTGACGTAATTCCAAATTCGTCAACCCCTCTGACGATTCAGTTAGGTGAACAATACCGCTTGGTTCGTCCTCATTGGTAAGTTTCTGTGTGAGATAATTATCTGGCACAGTATACACTAAGTCCAAACTGGAATTAATTTTATTGATAATGGCATATTTTTTAAACTCGAAAACTATAGCTGGGTCAATTCCCATCCAATTAATCCCGCTCGCTTTATCAATGTTCATAATCAGTTTGTATGATGAATTGATAAATTCGCCCAAATTAAGATACTCGATTGGAGGACTAGGTGATATAATTTTCCCAGTAACGATGGATTCATACAATGAGGGAAGAATTGTTCCTGCCAAAAGGGCAAAGATCAAGTAGTTGACAGAATCCAGGTCCCGGCTCGACTGACGACATAAGATGGAAACCAGGAAAAATATTTCCTGTAGGATATCTCGTAATGATCCTGTTCTACGAGATCCTGCTAATACAAAAATTACCAGGCATACAGATATCCACACAGTGGCATGAAAAGGGGTAAACCATACAACCCATGTGGTTTCTAGAACCTCATTGCGTCGACAGTAGATAACATAGTATTTCACTGTGCGACATAATCCGATGAAATTTAAGTCTTGGTAATCATATCTGACCCGATACATGTTAATTTGAATATATGGCCGCACTGCAGTATTTAAGTTAACATAGATATGTGAAAAGTTGAACTTGTTTGTTAGACAGGAAATTTCATTCTCAGCAGCTTTCTGAAAATTGTGGTATTGAGGCCTGCCGGTGCGGTGTACACCTAGAACCTCAATGTATAACTTTGTTCCTTGCCAGTTTGGGAAGGGTTTTGGATTCGTTCTAATCACAGTTATGAAGCTGTACTGTGATCTTTCCAAAACGGGCATGCCAAGGCTTCCTTTTCGATTGAATCTGTAAAAGTTATCATTCACAACAATATAAACTGCGTACGAACCTTGGTTCCAATAATATATTAATAGATGTTCGACGAGGTATTTTCTGTAGTAGAAGAAAATAATGGACTCTGGTTTGTGAATGTGAAAGTAAAATAAAGTGAAGGATTGCGCAAGGTCGCGCTCTGTATTGTCTGCATTATGATAAATATGCACAATCGCGCATTCGGATGCAAATCGGATTTGTCTCCGCCAAATTGGAACCCACCCTACTTGGAAAATCGTGTACACAGAAACCCCGTACTGTTGCAACAGCATTTTGTCGTTCTTGGTCGGCATGCGATTAAATATGGTCCACGTGATGAGCCAAGATGGACCTTGAGAATGATACTTAGTGATATAGGATTCTGCGACTTCATCCCTTCCAACTTGTTTGTGATAGAATAAGCATTCAACCAAGGGATTGTTTTCACCAAGTGTTTCCCCGAATATGAGTATAAAATTTGAAAAAAAAATTTGTGGCAATTCCATTGTAGGAATTTGTTAGCTGCCTTGTGAACGTACATATAAACGCACTTTTCTGCACACAACTATTGTAATTTTTAGTGTTAAATATCACATCCAGGTTACTTTCGTGACTTTGTGGAGATACATATGGCAGGCGATGCCTGATTTACGCAAGCTGCAAAATAACTTTCGTAGAAAGAGCTAGTTTGAGAAAAACATGTTACGAAATCATATATGTATGTATGGGCGAGGCTATGTAGCTAGCATGAAACACTTAGTAAATTAACTTGGTAAAAATTCTGTATGCTATGCTGATAATGGTAAACCATATGTTAGGAGATATGTATATATTCAATAGATATCTTTTAAGTATATAGTTTATCAAACTCAGAATCAAATGCACCATGTTTGCGAAAATAATTTAGTTAATAATCAAATACGAAAATCCCGAACAATGCCAAAAATTGTTACCCAGCCGGGAATAGAACCACGGCTCCCTTGAATTCATGTCAAGTGCTCTGACCACTGAGCTACTAGGGCAATTAGTAACATTATTGGGGCTTTTACTGATATTTATCTGTGGCCTTTTTCTGTGAATTTCTACTTTCTTTTACAATTAATAATTTAGTGTTTCGTGCTAAATAGATAGTAACTCCCATGCATGATTTCGTAACGTACATTTCCTGCTCGAATTTTCGTTCTGATTCTGTTTACAGAAAACAGTAGGTGTAGCTTGCTTAAATTTAAATTAGACCCCGTCTCTTAGAGTGGGTTGTCAAAAGTGCTGGGGGTCAATTTTGCGCTCGGTACCGCGTGAGATATTTTTACCCAGGGATAACCATGGACTAATTCTGGCATTTTTTATAGCCCAATAAATGGGGAAGAAAATACATTTTAATGTATATATTTTCTCTGTTTAAAAACAGTTTCGAAATCTGAAATTAAGTTCGCAAGAAATTAAGGAAAACTTCAAAATTTCATATTTGCAAACCCTCCCAATTGAGGATCGCATTATTTGCAAATTGCATATAAGTAAGTTTATTATCGATAGACACAAGCCACCCTTTATACATACTTACATTAGTATAAGTTACAAATCAGAAATGCGGAATGGAAAATAATTTTAGATATTTCGAAATATATATTTTATTCAAAATAATCACAAAAAAAACGAACGTATGTGTCCCTCAACACGAAGCTGCATTGTATTTTCCGAGCACGGCGTTACAAATTGGACACTTGTGTTCCACATCTTGACACATGCACATTGCGCAAATTCCCCAACTAAACGGAAACAAGTAACCTTACTAAAATTACTAATTTCATTCAAATACATACATAATTCATTGACTCTACATACACTCTTAAAAATCGGGTATAGTCAGACAGTTATTGATTTTTAACCATGTTACCGCTTGGTAATAAAATTATGCCTCTCCGAAAAAATTTTCTATCGATGCTGTAAAACTTTAATGTCACACTACTTCCATCTTACTACATACGTTACACTGCTTATCAAGTTCACCTTGATAGAGTCGTATTTATGTAAATGGATATCGCTTTTAATACCAAATTTTTAAGAGTGATTCGTCCATACTTAAACTGGGTTTCTCTTGATTAACTTACATAATGCAACAAATCGGATTGCACGACTCTACCGTCACCGTGCGAATCCGGGAGTGACACACGTTACAAGTTATGTCCATCGGGGATTCGGTGAAATGGTCGGGAAGTCGGACAATTCCGCGGACTGGGGCTGCAACTTGACTCGTCACTACTACATCTTTGTAAATAAACAATTTAATTAAATATTGATCGACAGGAATAAATACACTCTTAAAAATAATCTTACCCTATTGAAGAGTAAATGCGCTCTAAATTCCGTTTGAAGTAAACTATACTGAATCCTGCGTAAAATTTACTCTTTATCAAGTAAACCTTACTCTGGATTTATTTAGATAAATAGTTTACTTAATATAGAATTCAGAGTGCATTTAATTTTCAAAAGAGTAACGTTATTTTTAAGAGTGTACCGATATTTTATTTATGTATAACTAAGCAATAAATATACTTTTCCCATGTAAAGAAGGGCTCTCGGAATCTTTGAAACTTGTAAAACTGTACTGCGGAGCGGTAGCCATGGCGTTTGCAGTAAAGTGCGGGTGGTACTAAGAATTGCAAGGACGCTGAAACACGACGAACAAGTGACGAGGAATGCACTTAACGTGGCATTGTATGCGGGGTTTTTTTGTTTGAATTGTTGTGTCTCAACTTTCCTTTCCTCCATGTATTCAAATGACGATTTTGAAAAATTTTCACCGCCTTTCGTTTTTAACAATGTGAAGATATTAATGCACCTAAAAATCGGTAATTTTTAGGCTTACATAGTTAGGAGATAAAAATTTTGATTTTTTTCTTCAACAAGAAGATAAATATAAAATAGATGAAAAATAATCAATAAAATTTAAATATTTCGTCATTGAAGAAAAAAATCAAAATTTTTATCTCCTAACTTTGTAAGCCTAAAAATTACCGATTTTTAGGTGCATTAATATCTTCATATTGTTAAAAACGAAAGGCGGTGAAAAATTTTCAAAATCGCCATTTGAATACATGGAGGAAGGGAAAGTTGAGACACAACAATTCAAACAAAAACCCCGCATCAGCCAGCATGCTATTCCGCCTTAAAATACTTAATATGCATGAAAGGTTGAAAAGTAGGAGAAAGATGCGTCATACGCCCAGTCGCCGCGGAAGCGGGGGGACAGAGTCTCCCCAGTTATGAGATGTTAAGACATATCATGTTATACATATTTATAAACCCTTCCCTGCATTACACTACACTACAATATGGATGTACCCCGATGTCCCCACGGCAGATTCTGCGGGCACTGCATTCACCTCTGTCTACAGGACTCATCATTACAATGCTTCATGCATACATATTTGCACTGATCTTTACAAAAAAAATCAGCGTAGAGTAAGCATGCATCTTCTACTAGACTTGGGATTAGCCTCTGGCAATGTGTAAGATATTTACATAGATGGTGTATTTACATATTTATATATCTAAAACACGAAGGGTTTATTAGAAATGATTAAAATACATATGTACATGTGCAGGTACGATCGTCATCTTTGTTTGAAGGAATCGGTGCAAAAAATCCTTCAGCGTAATCAGTTGATAAATATGTTTAGCAGGATATTTTTGCCCACGTCTCCAATTGAGTTTTTATTTAACATCGATTTTATAAAAAAATATTTGCATATGTACGTTTCTGAGAAATAATTAAAATTCAACGAGGGTGAAATATCTTGCTTGTACATATGATGAACATTTATAGAAACACGAACACCGTCAAAATTTTTGTCCATATTTAATGTTTATTAATGTATATTAATGTCCAGATAATTATCAAATTGTGAGTACGATACGTGAAAAATTTATGTCTCGAATACTCATTATTTCAAGAATCAAGATGGCTTTTGAAACCCGAACGGGAGAAAATTGGGCTAAAACCTTGTTACTCACGCTTCATTTGTTTACATCGAGTGTGAAGACGTTAAAATAAACAAATGAGTCTCAAGCAAATGTGCAATATGGATTGAGAACGTGCACATATTATGTCATAATAAAACTCTAATTTTTGACCACCTATCTAAGTACTTACCCCTACCTTATCTTCCTCACATTAACTTTAACCCGAGTACGAAAAGCCACCAAAAACTACAATCCCATCTTTTGGATGATGTACATACTATCTGAATGTTCCCATATGTCTGGATGCCCAACTCTAAATATATAACCGCGGCAGGAATTTCACTTTGACACTTACTCATTTTTACAAGGAAGCCTAATATACATTTGGGTGAAACATCGACACCTTAAGATTTCCTAAAATCAATATTTCCCTTTGTACGTACATAAATTATGAAGAGTCTTAACCCAAACTCGGCCACGATTTAGGGATAATCATCAAATTTCCAATAAAGCGTGTGCCTCATCAGGGTGACACGGTTATTTTAACAATAAAACGTGCCTGGTTACATATGAGTCACTTTTTACGACCCATTTTCTCGCAAGATCCCGAAAGGATAAAAAATGAATGCCCAGTATCACTCGGTTTTTCCTAAGTTCAGCATCCAAAACTGTTACGAAGACTTGTTAATTTTGCCAAATCTAAAGTTCAATTTTACCCATTTTTTTAATAAAAAAAAATGATTTTTATTGAAAACATATCAGTGGAGAAGGTCACTGGAACAATGTACATTTTAAACGAAAGACTACGCGATATTTATGGTATGGTATACATACATATTTACATATTTTGTACATGTTTTTGTTTCCTAATGCATTTAACATTTGTCCATTTTTTACACATTTTTACACAGCCCTGGTTATAGAGCTGGATGGGAGCGTTATCATTTCAACTGATGACGGAGACGAATTCATCTCCGGGATGAAAGAACTTTCACCAGAAATTAATACCAAATTGGTCCGTAATTCCAAAGTCTTCACCGTGGTGGCAGGTGCAAGTCGACGTATGCACATAATTTGTCTTAATGTACCCTCGTACAAATAGTATTACCCATTTAAATGAAATTGCACATCGAATTCTAAACTCACAATGGGGACGGAAATCAGGTTCAGCTCGGATAATTTTACGGGTCGGGTCAGTTTTGGGTGACCAATTCGTTAGAATATTTAAAGCATGGCATTATTGAAGATGCGACAGATTTTGCAAGTTAGACGAGGGAAGCAGAAAACTAGAGCTGCGGTTCGATATTTCATGCAAATCATGCATTTTTTATGCATTTGGAGCACTAAATACATATTTATGTACATGCTTGTTTCTTCTAAAATTCCTAATCCTAATCCTAAGTGTTGATTCTAAAGAGTTGGTCTTTCCAACAAAGGCGATTAAAAAATAATCTGGGTTGAACATGGTTTGCGTCCCCGTTGTAAGCAAACTACATATACTAAACCCAGAGCACAATTTACCCTGTTTCAAGTTAACTCTGCTCCAGATTTGCTACAGTTCACATAATCTAGAATTCAGGGTGCGTTTCCTTTTCAAATGGGTGACACTATTTGTAATTCTTGTAAATTGTGCAGATCTCACTCGCGGAAGAATTCCTGCTAGCGAACTGCCACTCTATTATCCGAACAGGCGTTGTTTTACACTACAACTTCCCCAAAATCAGGACCAACTTCCGTCCAGCCTGGAATCTCCAAATCTGTCGATTTCCTACTCCTTGATTTTATATGGGCGAACGGCCTCCAGCTACGAGAAACTGGATTCTTGCAGGCAAGGTTTCGTTAATGCCACTTTTTGAGCTTAATGACATTAAGTGGCATTAAGTGACAAGTGACATCAAGTCATAAATTGGGGGAAAGTGAGAGGAAAATCAGCGCGGATCATGAGTTTTTCATCCCAGCCGGTCTGGATTAAGGCAAAATTTGCTACGAATTCATCGCCACTCATAATAAAACGCAATTTAACTGCATTTTAATTTTAAGTTATATTTGGGGGCCCTACATCAGATAGATAGGGCTTAGTTTATTTCAACCAGTGTAAGAGTTATTTAATAAAATAACATATTTTATGGATGCCATCTCACCTGAATCTTCACTACGCAGTGGTTCGAACTGATCACTAGTGTTACGATTAGATCCTTCCATTTCGGGAGTACCATTTGTCATGTTTGCCGGAGGATTTCGGCTCAATACAACTGAGCCCATTAACGGGCCAGAGGGTGACTCGGTCCATTCTTCAGGCTGCGTCTCTATCCCGGGGGAATAGCAAATCTGCTTGATCGGCGGCGGCGTACGGTTCACGATTCCAATCTCTAAATGGATTGAAATAAAAACCTATGAAGTACATATTTAGATAGGTACGTAACTTATCTGATCTATCTGAATTGCAATAATTAACCTCATAACCTTCAGCTGAATGATATCGAAAAATCAGTATTGCGAATAACTTGTCCTTAAATGCACCATAAATAGTGACCAATTGGTGCAAGACTTATTGTTAGTTGTTAGGAATTTTTGGTCTTTTGTAAATAATCTTTGACAAGTATTTATAGGAAGCATTACAAAAAAAGCGTTTAATACACTAGAAGGCAAGCAGCAAAAAACTGAATTGGACATTGACGTGACCCGGACAGAAAGGCGTATATTTTTTGTAAGAAGACACTCTAGCGAATAATTCGTTAAAAATACGCTAAAGTATTTGATGAACTGTACATAACTAAAATCATAACATTGTTGATGCAATGAATTAATCTTACCCGAATCGTCAAAAAGCCGTAATTCGTCCTTACCCTTAATCTCTTCAATGCCTGGCAAGCTGTTACTTTCATCCGCATAATGTCCCATACTGGGTATGGCCTTCCACACAACCGAGTCATTGGTCAACACGGAACAATGTTTCAGAGGAAGCGGCCCTAAATCAGATGTTGTTTCTGGGAGCTTGGCAGAAGGCTTAGGTACATCGGCTGTCCTACAATCCACGGGAAGCTTGGGTGTCAAAATTTCTTTCAATCCAGGGATTTCGTGCCATTTTATGGCTACAATTGTGTCTACCGTAAAACAATGTAAAGGGTGGTTTAAATGGCACGCTTCAATGGAAAATTTGTCAATCGGAAAAATTCGTAAATTTCTATTAGTTAGCAAAATTTTGTCTATGAAATTCAAAATTTGAAGAATTTTTCCACTAGTGTTCGGTCAGTTTTGACAATAATTAATAAAAATATCAATCCCAAATCTTGTACACTCTCAATAATTTTTTGACAAAATTGTTACCGGCGGAGGTACTATGTGACTCTACCGCGTGGTAACACTATAGTAACAAATTGTCTTCTGAGGGTAAGAAATTGCCTCCGGTATGGGTAACATTTTTATTACCTGAGCGTTGACATTGGGCGCTGAGCAGGATTTAGCCTCTTTATATATGCCACCCTTTGGTGATAAACTATTACCCGAGCGGTAGAATCACATAGTACCTCCGCCGGTAACAATATCGTCAAAAAATTATTGAGAGTGTAAGTAACATTACTTAGGGTTTCTCTCCATTTGGAGATTTAAGGGGTTTCCCTTTTAAAAAATTTTCCATTGTAGCGTGACATATTAACCAGCCTGTATATTCCGGATACTTCTGATTTAAATCCAGTTTTCAAAGAGTGAATCATTTACAAGATTGCACAACAAGGCATTACTTACCACTACCACCTTTCCAATCGGCTTCTTTCATTGCATGAAGTATTATTCCAATATTAGAGTCTGCCCCGTGTTCGTTAACAATTTCGGCAATGAAAGCTTTGTAAATGTCGTACAACGTGCTGTTACCGGAAACACAGGCTTGATATTTGGTATTCAGGCTGGTTATCTTGTCTTGACGTAACCTCACATAGTCACAGATTTGAGTGTAATACTTAGCGGCGTCAGTGATGTTTGCAATTGTTTGAGCCAGTTTTGATTTTATGGTGGTTTGCAGGTGACTGCTAGGATCTGAATGCATGACTAAATATATACAAAAGTATATAGAAAATAACTGTACCCTACTAAAACAGGTATCTCAGACTCTAACATATTTTACAAACATATTTTACATATCTCAGACTGTTTACCGTGGACCTTCTTAAAACCAAGACTGAAAAATCAAGTATTTAACTAAACACCAACAACAGTAATGGTTTGATCATTTAAATAAAGGAGGGCCCGCCATAAGCACTGCATGTAAAAAGTCTCTTAAATATTTAACTGATTAGACCATATCGTCGTACTATTTTTACAAAGGCCTAAGTGCAGTCAATGTTTAATTTTACAAAGGCCTATGTGCACAATAAAAACTAGAAAAAAGGCCTAACTGCAATTTCAAAATTATAAATAAGTAATTAACCACTTAACCCCTGAGAGATGCATATTTTCATGCCTTTCGCCCCTAGCAACCACGAATTTTTACTTCCCTTGACCCCGCAATTTTCACCTACTGCATGACGTTAATTACTGGGAGATCAATTAAAAAATGGTGTTCCCACCTGAATTATTCTGGACACTTTTTTATGAAAGTTGATGCGAATAACCAGTTGGGCACGAATATTGAGCTGTAATTTGCATCTTTGCGTTTTTGCGAGCCACTAATGTTTATAGCCGAAAATAGCCAACACGCCGAATTTTGAAAATGAGTGTAATCGCTAGAGAGTTAGAAAAACATGGAGTAACATTTGCATAATAGTACATAAATTCGCAATAATCGATTATCGCGCCTCAACCGAAACCGATTTGGGCGGGATAATTAAACTTCTTAAAATATTGCTTTCAATTCTTGACATACAATATACAGGCTACAAACAATTTAGTAATTAGACTAAAATGTGTAAAAATTGTTTATTGTACATCTAGCATGCATGAAATTTACGCATACCTTGGACGGGAAAACCGAAGGTTCTTACAATGACTTTAAATTGACAGCAGTGGGAATGAATAATTATAGCATCAATTGTTCGAAACCGACTTTAGCGCAGTTGGTGTATAGAACTCAATTCTAAGCGGAAAATTAAATGCTATTAATTCCAGGCAATCTCCTAATTTTCCCGCCCAAATAGATTTCACCAGCTCCAGATATGTAATAATTAATTTTTACGCATTTTGTCCTAATGGCAATACTATTTATAGCTTATAATATTATTTTCATGCAATTCATCCAAGGTGTAATTTTCCCGCCAAAAACGCCCGTTGGCGCGTACTAAATCAATAAAAAAAATTTCTCTAATTTTATCTGAAAGCGCTGTTGAAATAGGTGACAAAAATTCCATCCAACAGCAGTTTTCAAAACTGGGCTATTGGCTAGAAATAGCCACTTGGCTATAAATTATTTTAACCTCGTTTGATAACATTGGTTCCGAAGAGGCACGTCATGTTCCCGCCCATTGGGCGTGTTGTTGACTCAAAACTATACTTTGCTATACTTGGAAGGGCAATGGCAAATTTTTTTTCCGGATACGACACATAGTCGTATGCCGGCGTGAACGGAAAATACGCCACATAGTCGTACCCGTTGTCAAGGGTCAATACGACACATGGTCGTATTCCGGAGCCAAGGGAACTTACGCCACATAGTCGTATTCGGCGTAAAGATCAAATACGCCACATAGTCGTTATAGGGGCGAAGTGGTTAATCATGTAAGATCATACTGAACCCTGAAGTACGAATACCATAGTCAGATGAGGCTATTCCTGACATAATACTCTAAATTTCAAAACCACAACCTGTAGGGGTTGCTACTTTGGGCCTAAATTATGTTAACAAAATCTTGGCATGTAATATTTCATTTTCCTCAGCCTGGTAAAACAATCTCAAAGGCTTATTATAAACCTAAAAACCACAACCTCAGGGGGTGTGGTTACCGGCGTCAAGTTTAAGTAAACAAAATCTTGGCATGCAATATTTCATTTATCTCAGACCAACAAAGCAATCTCAAGGATTATTGTAGATTTGAAAACCATACCCCCAGCGGGTGTGGTTAAATTTTTTTTTTAATTTGATATTTTTATGCTACTTCAGAATTTTTAGAGACCCAAAAAACGTTAATTTAAAAATTAAATTTTTTTTAAAATTAAAATAAAAAAAATGAATTTTCATATCTTCAGGGATATAAAGATCTGACCACACCCTCGTAACCACAACCTCATAACCTCACAATCACAACCTCCATCATAACCACACACCCTGAGTGTATGGTTTTCAAATTTATAATATTCCTTTGAGGTTGCCATATTGGGCAAAGATAAATGAAATATTGCATGCCAAAATTTTGTTTAGTGAAACCTGACGCCGGTAGCCACACCCCCTGAGGGTGTGGTCTTTTTAATTTATGATATTCTTTTGAAATTGCCTTAATATGGTGAGAAAAATGAAATATTGCATGCCAAGATTTTGTTTAGTGAAACCTGACGCCGGTAACCACACCCCCTGAGGGTGTGGAATTTAGGTTTATAATAATCCTTTGAGATTGTTTTATCAGGCTGAGGAAAATGAAATATTACATGCCAAAATTTTGTTAACATAATTTAGGCCCCAAGTAGCACCCCCTACAAGGCGTGGTTTTGAAATTTAGAGTATCATGTCAGGAATAGCCTCATCTGACTATGGTATTCGTACTTCAGGGTCTAGTATGATTTTAAATGATTAATTACCTATTTATAATTTTGGAATTGCAGTTTGGCCTTTTTTCTAGTTTTTATCCTGCAGTTAGGCCTTTGTAAAATTAAACATTGACTGCACATAGGCCTTTGTAAAATTTCATATTGACTGTACATAGGCCTTTGTAAAATAAAGTATTGACTGCACTTAGGCCTTTGTAGAAATAGTACGACGATATGTAGTATTTACTTAGTTGCAAAATAATTTAATTTTCCAATATCGAAATTTAATGAAAGTTATGTAAAAAAAATGGGTGAAGTCTGGAGATTTTGTAAGAGATTTTTATGAACGCTACTACCTCTACTAAAAAAGACTTATTAGAAAAAACGAAGCATAGTGTGGAATCTGAGCAATTTGCAGAATAGCAAAGGTTTTAGGTTTGCAAAAACGTGCATTTTTACCGTCGGAAACTTTATAGTTATTACTTTCTGCCTTCCGATTATAAAAAATGCGCGGTTTTGCCAAGTAACTCCTTAAATCCATCAAATCCGTGGAGGTGCTCAAGTGTCGGATTAACTGTTATTTATGTTTAGATACTCCATTTTGTAGTCCAGGTTTTAATAAGATCAGAGAAAAACATGCCTGACGTGTGCATTTTGAGTAAAGCTGTGTTGAATTTAGACATCGCCAGAATGATGAAATGCAATGTCTAAACTAAATTTCGAATAATTTACGTGGAATTTTGAAGATCTCGTCGTCCGTCAACCCGACATTTCGGTTCGTAATTGTGTATGGGTCATCCTCCATCGTGTCTGAATCGCGTTTGTATATGCACAGCTATATTTTTACATATCGAGTTTGTCCATTCAACTGATTTCCGTCTATTTTGGCTAAACCAGGCGAAAAATAACATAGATACATACAGGCTAGTTTAAATGTCAGGTTACAGTGGAAAATTTTCAATAGGAAAAATTCGTAAATTTCCATTAGTTACGGATTTGGGATTGAGATTTTTATTAACTTTTATCAAAACTTAGGGGACGCTTACAATTTTTTAGATACTGAATTTCAGAGGCAAAATTTGTGCAACTAATAGGGATTTGCGAATTTTTACCCTTGAAAAATTTTCCATTGTAACCTGGCATTTAAGCCACCCTGTATGTATTAATCAACTTATACTAATTAACTTAACCAATGAATACACATGTATATATGGACTGGTCACTGACTGAAAGTGTCAAGGTCTGCCCTATTATTTCAACCACTTAAAAATTAATTTCGGACATGTAAAACAGCATAAAAATAGCTAAATTTAATAAGCTTTCTAAAACTGAAAGTCGAATTTGGTCATCTCTTTTCGCTAAAAAATGACAGCACAAAATTTAGAGGAAGTGGAAAAATTAGTTTGCCACTCGGTAAAAAAACTGTTTTTCTCGAATGGGAAAAGGGCTCGTGACCACTTCATTCTTGAAGGGATGCCCCGGACAAAATTAGGTCATGCATTAGACATATCTAGGGGTCGTAAAAATTCGAAATCTAAAATTTCTCCGGGTCAACCTGTCCGCCTGAAGACCAAAACATTAACGAGAAACGTGAAAAAATCTTTTTGGGGCAACCCAACAAATCCATGAGGGCTGGACCCGGAAAACTAAAAAGTTCAAAAACCTATCTTCGCAAGATTAAAGCAATAAGATGTGCTTCAAAACTTGCAGCACTAAAACCGCGACAAACAATGAAGATAATAAAGCCGGAGCTAAATAGTTTGTGGAAAACTTGTTGAGAATATGTTAAAATTGAGTCCCTTAAGTTCCTCGTCGTCGATAATGAAAACTACTGCCCCGTCGACCTCGAAGCGTCAATGGTGAAATGTTCTACTCATGTTGAAGTAAAAATGACGTTCGTTCGAATTATAAATTCAAAGCCAAGCAAAATTGCCAATGAAATACATAAAAGGGCTGGCGACGGACGAAAATGGGAACGTCTCATATCCAGTCGTTTCTACGAAGAATATGAACTTAGAACTTTACTTGAAAAAGTGTATCATCAAAAGATCGGTACCCTCTATCAAAAACAAACGCGTTCTGTTTTGGTCTGACATGGGTACGTGCTAGAATCCCTAAATAGTGACAGGGCACCATCGAGAGGAAAAAACTGATTTTGTCGACAAAAAAGACATCGCTCCAAATGTACCTCAATATCGGTCCACTGACTGATTCTGGGCACTCACTGAGAAACAATATACTTAGAAAAAAGGACACCAACAAATTTCAAAAAATTTCGACGGGTAAAGAAGAAAGTGGTCATAGAAGTTGGTGAAATGAGTGGCAAACCGCTCATGAGAGGCATGCGACAAAGCCATCTCTACACCGGCAGGGAAGGGATATTTAGACCATTGAAGGATAAGACAACTTCGGTCTGGTCACCGTTAGTATTGCACAAAAGTTTCAAAACATTTGATTCATGCATTCATGTTTTGTAGGTCAAAATAAGTTGACACTTTCTATCAGTGACCAATCCATATAACTTATACATAAGAATATCTTAGACTGTTACCTGCAGAAAATTTGTAAACTTGATTAAATCGAGAAGCAGATCAACTTACAAATTTATAACCGGGTCAGATCCGATCCACCCACCAAGTTCCCTTCTGTATTGTGACAATTTTCAAACGAATTAAGTATTTTAAATGTAGCTACTTCCAACTTTGGAGGGTTCTAGAAACCAATTTATGTATGATCACTGAGCTTGTATTAGTGTTATTCATCCTGAGTCAAATGCCTGTATTACATATGTGCGTAGCCTCCACTACCGACTCCTTCTGGCCTAGTTGTTCGACGTTATCTTATCCGTTCTTGTTTATCATCAAACATGCTGGCGACACGATAATCATCACCAATACAGGTATATACATTTGGACAGTAGTATGTGTTCGATTCATGGTTATAGTTTAGTAGATAATAGATACATGGGGCAGCCATGGACATATAACTTATAACTTAAAATTATGACGTATAACTTAACTTATAATTATAAATATACGTCGCCTTATGGAGTTTCTATGACTTATAACTTATAAAATAAGTTATACGTCATAATTATAAGTTATAAGTTATATGTCCATGGCTGCCCCATGTATCTAATAAGTTAAAATCAATTGTAGAGTTATGAATTTGTATGTGAATGTCCTTTGAACGTAAATATCCTTTCTATTGAGTGGGTGGTTGAGGGATTCGGTTAATGAGTAAGTGTAAGCGGGAGAACTAGAAGAAAAGGGGCGCGTTGGTTTGGTAGCTAAGAACTACGTATTTTTAAATTAGTAGGAAAAAGGTACAGTGTGTCCCAAAAGTTTCTCCCTATCAACCACTAATGCATTTTGTTAGGTGACAAGTACAGGGACATCGAATTGTTCAAACTGGTATATTTTCCGAAAGTACCGTAAAATGGTGTGCATAATCCAGCCTTATTCACAATTTCTTCCATTCATGTCGCAAAACTGTGGTGCAAAATATGCGGTCCTTACGAAACCAACGTGGGACCGGGATTTCGAAGTCGTGTTTCGGCCTAGTCATGGATGTGACATCCTTCAAATTTGTTCCCCTACATCTCAAATGTTGTGGATTGAATTATCATTGCTATTAAAACTAGACGTTATCTGTGAATATACACTTATCGCGGCCTTCCGCAAGGGTCAAAATAGTCGCAAAATCTATGATTCTAACCAGTGTTACGAGTTTTAGCCGATATCACGTGGGTTCAAAAGCGTTTGAAACTGGCCCCTGTATATCTGGCTATCATCCTTGGCCATACTGGGTTCGTCCCAAACGTAATGATCAAAGTATTTCAATTATTCCAAAAGTGCCGTGGTGCAAGATTTAGGCTCCTCTACCTTCGGTAGCAGAACTAGCCAATTTCCTTCGAATTTTGTAATTGGGCGAGTATGTTTTTGATGGGGAGAGTGTGCTCGAACTATCCGAACTGCGTTTGTGTTTGAAATATTTTTTATGGCTTCGCAATCCAAGTGCCTTTCAGATTTTCAGATTTCCTCTTTCACCAAGCCCGGCATTGGATAGTGCTAGTATACTCAATTCCTTGTGCTTGCGAGAAGACTTTACCATTGGTATCATATTGCAAAAAAAATTTCACAACAAAAGTGACCGATGAAAAATCTAGCAACAAAAAACGGGGCGAAAATTCATCGGGAGAAACTTTTGGGACACACGGTCAGGATAGTATCGTACTGCTTCTTCAAAGGTGCACTAGGCGGGAACACAGCGAAATTAAATTTCGAAAAAAATATTTTTGAATAGACCAAGTAATAAGCTTTCCGTTGATATATGTCACCAATTATTGAGTCATGGCTAAGACTAGAAAAACTTGGATTGAAAGGCAAGAGTTGAAAAAAAGAGTGATTGAGTTTCACAAAAATCGAACAAACTATGATTCTAAAATCACTTGGCAATTTTTCAAACAAGAAGGTATTCCTCATTCAAATGTCAACTCTAACATAAAAAAGTACGCGGAATCCAATGAACTCAAATTCAAAGTCCCCACTGGTCGACCTGCAAAGCTAGCGACGACAAAAGTCAAAAATCGCATAAAAAATCTTAAAAAATTATCCATCAACGACAATGGCTGCAGCCGAATGGAAGGTCAAGATTTCAAAAAGCTATCGGAGCAAAATCAAAGTCCATAAACTAGGGATTGTAGCCAGGGAAAAGAAACCAGCACCAAATTACAAACCAACACAACAGGAAATGATTCATGCGTGCTTCAAGAAATTGTGGCAGAAGATTTGGGGAAAAGTGGTCATCATGGACGATGAGCCCCACGTCACAACTGACCATTCAAATCTTCCAGGAAGGCATTTTTTCCATAGTTCCAACCCCTGTGAAGTAAAATATGAAGACAAAGTCCAAAAGAAAGACCAATTCCCAAAAAACTGAAGAATTTGTCAACGCATGTCTGGAATTTGTCATTTTTCCGATCCCGTCATTTTGGAGGGCACTGTAAACCAGGGGGTTAATCTTAAATCATGCATTAAAGGGGGACTGGAATCGTTTATTACCAAAGATCATAAAAAGATAAAGTTTTGGTTTGGCCTGACCTCACAAGGTCGAATGATGCCAAAAAAGTCACTCAGTACCGACATCTGAAAAAAATTGAATTTGTGCCAAAAAATGGAAACCCACCAAATTTTCCTCAACTACGACCAATTGAGAAATTCTGAGCGCTGACTACATCCAAACATTCTAAGCTTTCAAAAACGCCAGGCACCTTACGAAACTTTAAGAACAGATGGAAGAAAATCAGCTTGAAAGTAGGTGCAGTCTATGGGCGGAATTTGATGCGAAATCTGAGGAAGAAAATGCAATCTGTAGCAGACAGCGTAATCGAATCATTAAAATTTGAACTGTATGGCAATCTAAACCCTTTGGTAGTAAACATATGCAATTTTCTTGAAATTGCATTAACGGTGTAAAAAGTTCTGAGCATTTTATTTCCTCAGTACGATACTATCCTGACCGATCTTTAATTATAGTTTTCGAGTCTTTATTAATTCGCCGACAATATTGAAGTAAAGTGAAGTATTTGGGACTAATGTTTTAAGTTAAAAGGGCACATCTAGGCATCCAAGTGAATTTTAAGTTAAAGTGTCCTTATCAGAGCTCAAGAACCAGATCTGCAGGCACATTCATAGGTGTTACGGATTCAACAGTTAGTTGGATCGACCGAGTATGCATGGTAAATATAACATAAAAGCTAAGCCATATCCTTGCAAACCTCATGGAGATAATGGAGATTGGTTTGCGTCATCATGCATGCGACATGTACATCGTCATGCACGACCTCAGGGAGAGGATTCAGTCAACGTTAGGGATCAATCTGATCACCTCCTCGGCCCCCGTGGGGGTGGTGGTTTGCTTCCGTGCGTGGTGATTCCGAGTACCATCGAGTTGGTGGTGGGTTATTTCCATTCGGTATGCTAACCATTCCAGTAGAGTCAAATACAAAGACATACATGGTCAGCATTACTACACTGTATATGTATATAATTTGGAGGCAAATGGTCATCCGGGGTGTACAGTCTTAGGAAGCTGGTATCGGCACGCAGTTTTTGATTTCCTGCTTCTGGCTAAAATTATCCTCGCTGCAAAACTTTGCTACTAAATAATATACATAGTAGAACCTAATACCGAACTATTAAAACAACGTATTACTCACCAGTACCACTTTGGCATACTTACAAACTTACATATATTTGTACATTACCACCAAGTAATCTCATATTATTTTTATTGTACTTATTTTTGCAATCATTATTATTTTGTACATACTTATGTACATAAATACTGAATTAAATACTGGACCCACGACCCAAGACCCACGACCCACCCAGTTTGCAAACGTTGTACACACATACATACATACATATGTATCAGTGTTTCTTTTTGTGCGCACGAAATTATTTTTATGCATGCTTAGTGCATAAAAATGCACGAACCTGCATCAAAATGCATAATAATAAATGAAATGCAATTTATGCAGGGAATTTCATATTTTCAAGAAATCTTATATTTTCCTATCTTGTGAAATGTGGATAAGATTAAGTTACCTGAACCTATATACCTTACCACCCTACTTGCTAGCCGGAGTTGCGGCTTATGTTCAATCATCGTTGCCATTTTGCCATAGATTACGCTAGCAAAACTTATCCTGCCAAGGTATTTGGAATTTAGTACACATTTCGAAATACACGGAATTATTATTCGGCAAGAAAATTTGAAACAAAGGACAAGTAGTTGTTTTGTTATAAAATACAAGCCCGTATTCAGCCGTTCATACATATGTGTAAAAATCGTCGTGTTCATTCATTTTTATTTTCAAAACTTTCAATTTTCTTATTGAAAAATGAACAATATTTTTATACTAAACGACCAGAATGATGAGGAAAATATCTCAACTAATCGAATATTTACACAAATTGTATTATGCCAATATTATTTGCATGTAAATTATTTTCGTGCATTTTTGTGCATTTTCATATACTTTTTGGGATTTTTAGTGGGTGTTATTAAACGTTTAAAAACATTTCCGTGCACTAATTTCGTGCAGGTGTTATTTAACAGCAGAAACACTGATATGTATGTACCTGTTCAAAAACTTTGCCTTCATTCAAAAGTCAGTCTTCCCGAGTGAAAATTTTCATTCACGTTCAGCCATTTTCGCCCAAATCCATTTCATTTCACTTCTTGGGACTACATTTCTTACAATTTATGTAGTATGCATAGGGTATGTATAAGGTATTAAAAAAAAGGTATAGGGTATTAAAAAATTACATATGTCGAACCGTAACAATTTGCTATCTATATTATATGGTGCAACCTTTATACCTGGCAACATTACTACCCTGTCGAGGTCAACGATTTGGCAGCGCCGGCGCCACTTTTGGGTGATTATTTATTGGTAGCGACGGTGACCAGTCGGCCAGTATTAAAATAATGCCGTTTGGTAATATTTTAATACTGGATTTCTAAGAGTGCAATAAATTTGCAGTCCTATCGAAATCTGTGGACGTGAAGAAGATCGTGAAACGCATGGCGATGGATCCCGTTCTGCTCTGCAGATAGATGGACCAGACTCGCGGATGAGCTCGGATTGGCCGCTGCATTTAAAAAGACTAACAAAACACTTATATATATATCAAGAAATGCTATCATATGATGAACTCTGCGAGAAAATGGTATCCACTTGGGCAAGCAGTTGGAAGGATGTAAC